ATCCAGAGATGGATCAGCTTTGTAAGAGTGCAAGCTGAAAACAGGGCTGTGGTTTCCCTATAGCCCATTCAGGGATGGCCTAGAAAAGTTGAAGCAAGACATCAAAAGATTGGGGATGAGGAAGCCAGTCGCTGGAGAAGGAGATCATGTTTGGTAAGGTGGAGGGTCAGAGAAAAAGAGAAAACCCCCCCCCAATGATATGGATTGGCCAAGTGGCAGCATCGATGGACTCAAGTGTGGCAACAATAGTGAGATTGGTCCAGGACCAGGTAGTGACTCGTTCTTCTGTGCACAAGGTTGCTATGAGTTGGTACCGACTCGATGGCACCTAACAACAACAACAAAGCATAGGGAAGAGGCCTGTGGATGGATCTAGGAAGAAACAAGAAATGTGAATATCTCTGAGTCATGTCAGTACACATCTAAGAACACCCACCCTGGGGCAAGCACTAAACAGTCAAGTGTGGTATTACAGGATAATGCATTGGACCACAAGGTTGGTAGCTCAGACTCACCAGTGCTCCTTGGAAACCCTACACAGGGTCACTATGCATTAGAACCAACTCAATGGCACTTACCTCCAACAACAACATTGACAAACTGAGTCCTGGTGTAACACTCTAGGATCAGCACTAGACTGCAAACCATAAGATCGGAGGTTCAAACCCTCCAGCTGCTCCTCAGAAACCTGCTACAGAGTCACTATGAGTCGGAACTGACTTGATGGCACTTAACAAAAACAAAGTAGATAGAGTGGCTTTGCCCATTGGCATACACCAACCCCTGGCATCAGTCACCACAGTGATGGCCCAATGGGCTGTGGTGGTGGAAATGGGAGCTATACATGGAGCCAACAGCATGAGCTCCCACCCAGCAAGGTTTCTCTCACTACTGAAAGCCCAACCTGCAGCAACTGAGATCCACATGAAGCCCCTGATACAGCACCGTCCTTCAAAGGGACTGCCCAGCCACTTGTTGGCAAGTTGATTACATCAGACCACTTTCACCCTATTCAATCTTAATTCTGAATTTTAAGGATTTACCTTTCCTGCCCACAAAACTCAGCCAGTATCAATATACAAGGTCTCACAGAGTGTGTGATGCACTGAGACAGGGTATCACCTATCACTGCATTGGAGCAACAGACCCACATTATAGGAAAAGAGGGGTCAACAGTGGTCACATGACATGTACCATACTACATCCCCTAGAAATTGCCAGTCTGGTAAAGCAGTGGAAGGTGATAGCTCAGAAGCACTAGCACCCTGTGATACTTGGGATACTCTAGATGCAATTTCTCATGCTGTGGTTAGGTGTTTTTGAATCAGTTTCAACTCATAATGACCTCACATACAACAGAACAAAACTCTATCTGTTCTTGTGCCATCCACACAATTGTCAAGTTTTGTCTCTTTGTTGCAGCCACTGTGTCAACCCACCTCACTGACAGTCTTTCTCTTTTTTGCTGACCCTCTCGTTCTGCTGTGCATGAGGTCGCCATGGGTCTGTACTGACTCAATGGCACCTAACAACAACAACTAGTTTATCAAGCAGGATGTCCTTCCCCCGGAACTGGTCCTTCCCCTCCTGAGAACATGTATGAAAGATGAAGTCTCTACAACCTTGTTTCTAAGGAGCATTTTCACTATACTTCTTCCAAGACAGATTTGTTCTTTCTTCTGTCAGTCCATGGTATAGGCAGTTCATGGTATATTCTTCACCAACACCATCATTCAAAGGCATCAGCTCTTCTCTGGTCTTCCTCATTCACTGTCCAGCTTTCACATGCATATAAGGAAATTGAAAATACCACGGCTTAGTCCTCAAAGTGGCATCTTTCCTTCTTAACTCTTTAAGGAGATCTTTTGCACAGTGTCATGCTTGTTTTAGTTTCTGGAATGCTGCTTCCACAAGCAATGATTATAGATGCTAGTAAAATGAAATATTTGACAATTTTAATCTTTTCTCCTTTTATCAAGATGCTGCTTAGTGCTCTACTTGTAAGGATTTTTATTTTCTTTGTATTTAAGTGTAACCTATACTGAAAGCTGTAGTCTTTGATCTTCATCAGCAAGTGCTTCAAGTCCTCTTCACTTTCAGCAAGCAAGGTTGTGTCATCTGCATATGACTGGCTGTTAATGAATCTTACTCCAATCCTAGTACTTCATTCTTCTTCATATCGCCCAGTTTCTTGACTAATTTGCTCAGAATGCAGATCGAGTAAGTATGGTGAAAGGTGTAACCCTGACTCATACCTTGCTTGATTTTCGCCTAGTATCCCCTTTTTCTGTCTGACAACTGCCTCTTGGTCTATATACAGGCTCTGCATGAACACTGTTAGGTGTTCCCATGCTTCAAAATGCTACCCATAATTGGTTAGGATCCACATAGTCATTTGCCTTTGCATAGTCAAAGATACAATAGATGCTGTACACACCCAAAATCAATGAGAATTATATGGGGATTTGTTCCTAATGCATAGACTATATATGTCTGGGAACCAAGAGATGGAAGAAACAGTGACTACCATTCCCAGTTACCCAATTGGAAATTTTGTGTTTCCCATCCCTTAGATCTGGGGGTCTAAAGGTCCTGAGTCCCAGGGGGACAACAAGTTTCATTGAACTGTAATCCATGGCTTGGACACTTTGTGCCATGAGATTAGTGAGGAAAGGAGTCACTGTCGTGGCTGAGGTCACTGACCCTAATCAATAATAGTTTGATCCCAGGGACAGGGAAGACTATTTGATACCCAGCGGATTCACTAGGACATCTCTCAATATTCTACTGCTCAATTTGATGGTTTGTAAATCAGACCCCTCAGGGATGGGAGCCTAGATCAACCTACCATACAAGTCACCTAGACTAGCAGAGGTATGAATTGAGGGTAAGAGGGATCTAGCCTACGTAATAGAGGAGGGAACGTATGAGTACTGTGGTTTACCCTGCTAACTTTTCTCCTGTAAAGAGAATCATTGTTGTGATTATTAAGTGCCATTAAGTAGATTCTGAATCATTGACAGAAGAAACCAACCAGAAAGCTTACATGAAGCAAATGGACCAAACACAAGGAATGCACTGAGGTGGGTGCTGTGGTATGCTCCAGGGCCCACCCTTTAGGACAGGGCACTTATTTCTCAAGCTGCCAGAATGTTGCAGTTGACAGCTCACAGCTGCGCCCCTCCCCAGGGGTATCCCTCAGCCAATAAGGGCTGCCCTCCCAAGGTCATGCCTTCCTGGGGGGCAACTGCATCCAATGACAACTGCATCCTCTCGTGGAGAAAACACTCCCTGTGGGCTCACCTGAGGCTTCTGTCACACATGCATCAAACTCACACCTCCCTCTGTCCAGTCCTGTCTCCCTCTGTTGCAGACTGTTCCCTCACAAGGGATCTCCTGATCCCACTCCCCCAAACCTTCTGGTACACAGACCTCCATCTCAGAGTCTGTCTCCTGTATCCCAGCTCCACCAGCACAGAAGTAGAGCCAGAAACCATCCGGCTACCTGGGCCAATCCAAGGGAAGGTCAGGTAGGCAAGGGTCTAGACATAAGTAACTCATTAGAGTCTGGCTCCACCTGAGGAAGTGTTCAGCCTAGAGGCAATGTACGAAGTAGGGGGAGCACCCGGAGTGGGGGACACTGTGTCATGGCAGTTGCATGTTGCATGAACAGCTGCTCTGGCATCAGGCAGACCTAGATTCAAAGCCCAGTGGTGCCTCCTACAAACTCATGACTTTGCACAGGTCACTATTCTCCCTGTATTCACTTCCCAGCCTCACCAAAGTGAGGACATAAACAACCACCAGGGTGAGACTTGGGCATCAATGCAGCTAAGCTGATCAGCTCTATCCTGGCTGAACTTCCTCTGCTGCTGTGTCTCAGGGAATTGGCAGGCAGTGATGAGAGCAAAACAGCCTATCTAGAACCAAACCTCTTTCTGTTCTAGGAGTGGGGCACCAAGCTGCAGTGGCCCTAAAGTGAGGATGCTAGCCACAATGGAGACGTCACCACAAGCTGGGCACCACCACAGGCCTAATCTCTCAGCCCCCTGCTCACACCCTGAGCACCCTGAGGGACAGTGACAAGAGGAGAGCCAGAACTGCAGGACTGGAAGAACAACATGGTGTCCATGAGTGGGGAAAGAATTAAGTGGGGACATAGTCCCACTGTGATGTGGGGAGTGGGTCCCTTGTCCTTGTGCCTGAGACCCAGCCTCCTGTCCTGTCACTCTGCCCAGAGGTCATGGTGGGCAAAGACCAGGTCAGTACAGAACGTGTGCAGTGGCTGTAACAGCAGTGCTGAGTGAGTGGATGGATGATGGATGGATGGATGGGTGAGTGAATGGATGGGTGGGTGAATGGATGCATGATGGATGGATGGATGGATATATGATGGATGATGGGTGAATGGGTGAATGGATGGATGATGGATGGATGGATGGATGGATGGATGGATGGATGAATGGATGGATATATGATGGATGATGGATGGATGGATGGATGGATGATGGATTGATGGATGGATGGATGGATGGATGGATAAATGGATTGATGGATGGATGATGGATGGATGGATGATGGATGGATAGAGGGATGGAGAGATGGATGGATGAGTGAATGTATGGATGGATAAATGGATGGGTGAATGGATGGATGGATGGATGAATGGGTGAATGGATGGGTGAGTAAATGCATAGATGAGTGAATGCGTGGATGAGTGAATGCGTGGATGAGTGAATACATGGATGAGTGAATGTGTGGATGAGTGAATGCATGGATGAGTGAATGCGTGGATGAGTTAATGAATGATTTGTGAGCGGGTGGTTGGGTGGAAGAATAAACGAGTTTATGAGTAAATGAGTTGCTAAGTGAATGAACTAAAAGCAGAGTGAATGAATGAGTGAATAAGCAAATGAATGAATGAACAATGAGTCCCAAGCCCAGTGGCCTAGCTGTGGTACCACGGACAGCCCCTGCCCCCCAGCCCACAGCCCACGCACCATGACATTTAGGCCTTGGTTGGTGGGCCCCTGAGCCACGATGTACTCAATGCCGGTCTCATAGATGTCCATGGGCCGCCGATACTTGACCACGGTGCCAGCGATGTTGAAGTTCTTAGGACTATCCACCTTGTAGTTGCCATTGAAGAAGTAGTGGCCAGCTTCATCTGCTAGGGCTGACAGGGTAAACGCACCAGTCATGAGAGCAGGCCAGCTGGAGAGAGGTGGGCAATGGGACGAGGCCAGCTCCACACCCTCAGCTCCTGGCCCCTATTGGTTCCCAAAGCCGTTCCCTCATTCCCTAGATGACAGGAAGCCGCATCGCAGGGGAGTCGGACATTGCCTATGTTGAACATGTGGCCCTAGCCAATGAAAACCAAGCGAGGTGCAGCACTTCCCTAACAACCTAAAGTAACCTACAAGAGCTTGTCTTGTTGTTAAGTGTCATCAAGAGCTATTCCATATAGCTCTTCTGAGGCTGCACACCTTTATAGGAGCAGACAGCCTCATCTTTTCCCTGTGGAATGGCTGGTGTACTTGAACCGCCAACCTTGTGGTTTGCAGTCCAGTGTTTATCCTATAAAGCCACCATGCTTCCCCAGAGTTTGTCTAGATGAGCTGAAATAGCTGACCCAGACTCCAAGTTGTTACTCAGGCTGCCTTTGAAGGGACTGAGGGGTCATGAGGGGACAAGCCAACACCAGGACCAGCAGCGAAGCGTGGCCTAGGAAATGTCCTGGCAAGTGAGGTCACACTGGTGGTGATAGGTGTCTCCTAGGTACGTGACAGGTGTGTGACAGGTACAAGAGAGATGTACCTGCAAACCACCAAATATGGCGCAGGTGTCCATCGGGTATTGGGCAGGTGTTTGCTAGGTATGGGACTGGGCTTCTGCCAGGTACAAAACAGGAGTCCACCAGATACAGGACAGGTGTCTGCCAGGTACAGGACTGGGCATCCAGCCTGGCTTTGCAGCCAGCTCACTGTGTGGCCCTGGACCTGTCGCTGTCCCCGCCTGCCCTGGGTAAAGAGGAGGGCCCTCACACTTTGCCCATCACCCACAGTGAGGACATTGCAGCCGCTGCCCTGGAGCCCCTCCAGACTCTTCTGGAGACCACCCTGAGCTGGCTGGCTCTGTGCTGGCCACAATAATCTTCCTGATGTGCTGGTCATTACACTAACCACCCCCGATGACCCACTTGCCCAGACGGGGAGATAGACCAGGAGGATGGCCAGGCAGTGTGGGGGGTACAGGGACTATCTCATCAGTCGGATGGGCACTCTGGGGCATGGTCAGAGGTGAATGAAGACCAGGACAGCAGGAATAAGCATGCAATCGTCCCCCATCAGCCCAGGGCTGGGAACTGGGGACTCGTTCTCCCTGAGACTGTGATGAAACCTCATAGGGGTCAGGGGAGCTGCCGGGGTGGGGGCTGGGGGGAAGTGGACTCGGCATTCAGGACAATCTCTCTTCCAAATGTGTCCTCAAAGCCAATTCCAGGAACTGGCCCACAGGAGAAGCTTCCAAAGTTCCTGACGTAACAGGAGCAGGGAGCCTGGTGCAATTAATTTCCTCACAGACAGACGCAGCAAGCAGGCCGGTTCATAATGACGTCAAAGAATAATGCAGACAACATGTCCGAGTTCTGTGCAGCTGACCGTGGCAGGCAGGATGGCGTGCCCAGCCTTCAGGTATTCGCCTGCTCCCTGGCGGTAATGACCTTCCTTCCTGCGGCTTGCGATTTCCACAGGATGGATTCAAGAATGAGTGTGCTGGAGCAAGAGCCAGAGCTCGGTGCATCTGCGCCTCACAGCTCACCCGGCGACATAACAACTGGGCTGGCAGGGGCCCAGGGCTGCAGAGGGCTCCCCACGCTTGGCCTGGAGTGTTCCTAGGTGCCAGGAAGGGGCTGGCCAGTCCATGGGAGCCTGGAGGCAGGGTCTAGCTGAAGGACCCTTCCCCAGCATCCTTTAGAGGAGTGGGCTTCCTCCCCGAGGCCTGCCCTGAGACCCAGAGCTGGGAAGGTGTAGGGCTAGCCTGCCTCAGAGAACAGCTTCCCTTTACAGACTGGGGTCAGGGGAGGGACATCATCCTGGCCCACCTTCCAGAAGGCTTCTGCATGGCCACACAGAGAGGGTACAGGTACCTGCCCCCAACCAGGAGCCCCCAGGACCTTCTGAGGAGATGCGGGCACCAGGGCATGTGGACCTACAGACAGGCTAGATTCACAGGGACTTTAGGATTTGTCACCAAGACAGAGCTCACAGATTAGCAAATAACCCCGAATCCTCTATTGGAGACCCCCCACACACACACCCAGGAAGTGCAGCCTCCCACCAAATCTGCCATGGCATGAACTGCCCAGCCCCTCACCTCTGCTAGCCTTGGACCACCAGCACCTGACCCCTCAGCTCACCCCTGCAACCCAGGGCAGGAACACTCTCAGCTTTTGCTATGCCAAGGGCTCTGGAGATGGGGAGCTCACTACCTGTTCTCACAACTCCTTCCTGGACAAACTGCTCTAGTTCAAGGTCCTTCCTCACTTGGGGGTGAAACTGGCTTCCCCTCCCAGGCCCAGCTCTGGCTGGCTGCAGGCCCACCTCCCTCCCACAGGTACTCGGTTCTCCACCTGCACAATTTGCCCCAAGCAAAACAAAAACCCCAGTGGAGCAGCGGCAGACCACTCACGCACCTAGGACGTCTGCGGACCGTTTCCTCTCCACGATCTGTATGTGTGTGGCACCAGCCGGGATGTGGGTCACCAGGGAGTAGCCTGTGGGAGTGGGGGTGGTGAGAGGCAGCAGCATAGCCCAGGGCCTGAGAGGCACCTGGGAAAGTTGGGGCCAGGCACCGCCCTACCTCTGTCCCGAAAAGACACCCTGAATTGCAGGGGGTTGATGATCCCAACCATTACACTAACCACCCGGAGGCCACCACCAAACCAGTTAATCATCAATGGATTCAGAGTAATAACCACCCTGTGTGTATGTGAGAGAGAGAGAGAGAGAGTGAGTGAGAGAGAGAAAG